GGTTGGTATTATTTCAAACTGCAGAGTCCCTCCTCTGCCCCATCTCTTCCTTGTGGCAGTAGAAGTTTGTTTGGCTGGCATATAGGAGGTCAAAGCTTTAGGAACAGGAAGCAATGTGCCTGCTTTGATACAGAGCTGTTTATCAGGGCTGGAGCTGGCACAACTGGTATGGCTCATGTGGGAGTAGGCACAGGTAGAAATGGTTCTGCTATGTGTCACTGCTATTCCTGATGCTAAGCAGGAGGCACCTGACCTCCTCCTGAGCTACTGTGAGGGTGGAACATCTTACTTGTGATGCTTAATGCTTTCAGTAGTCCTTGTGATGGAACTGTTTTGCAGTTCCTCCGCGTGGAGCATGAATGTGGTGATTCCACATGGTTCAGCTCGGTTAAGTGTCTGCTGTTCTGTACAGTGTGACTTAAAACTATTGACTTACTGAAGGCTGTGGTGAGCTGTACTGTAAAATATTTGCAGACTGTATGGTCTCTGCTGGTTAAGTGTACTCTTTCCTTGTTTAATTTCTTTAATAGCTTGGAACTGCAGCCCTACTGTCGGAGTTGACAGGAATCCAGTGACCTCATGTTGTTTATGCATTATGTTAGCATGTGGTTTCATGGTAGATTCTGGCTATGTGCAAAGCAGCAAGTGCTGAGGGGTGAGATGAGTGGATCTGTAGGGAGAAACTGCTGACCTGACATTCATGGTACATGTTTTGGACATTTTTATATCATTGTAATTCTAGTCTTATCCCATGGACATAACACCTATTAAAGATCAGCATGCATTGAGTGTTTTTAGGCTGCATATCTTTGAATTAGTTTCAGTGAAAATAAATCCAGATTTCTTGCTGTGAGACTGCTCTGCACTGTGAACTTGAAGCACAGTAGACGAGAATGGTTTGGAGTTTCACGAAGAAGTGTGCTCCTGGTCTGGACTGTAACAATGACGTTGATCAAAGTTGGGTTTGATGCAGTCCTGCATCTCTGACCCTGCAGTGAGCCATCCTAGGGAGATAAATTTGTAGAAAGTTGTTATTAGATGGTTTTCTTAAACTGATTCAGTAGGACCATAAAAAAGTACTAATTAAAGTGCAGAACGGGGGGAAGGGACCACGGGAATGCACACAGAAGAGAGAGTGGGATCACAGCATTCTTGGGTTAAGTTGTTTCAGAAGTACAACTTTGCAGGTTTCCCAGTTTGAGTTGGCACCATGAGAGGGGAAAGTAGGAAATACTGTATGTTTCCACCTGTTGAGGGTTCAGTCCCTAGGCTGCTTCTCATGCTGATGGCTGTTGGGGCATGAAAGGAAGGAAAGAACCTTTTTGAACAAGATTAGTGGTCACTGTGGTTTCCCCAGTAGTGGCAAATGTGAGGTGCTTCCCTACTCAGTGTGAGGAAGACCAAACCCCAAAAGAATACTTTGATCTTTGGAGAACTGATTATTATGGTCATTGTGGGTCGTTGTGTAAACATGAGAGTGAATCACAGGAGCAGATGCAGGGCAAAGAGCCTGGCTTCAGAGCAGAGGAGGCTCTTGGCTAGGAGGGATTTGCCTTTGGCTGTCAAACACTAGTGCTCACCTTGCACATGTGTCTTCCCAGGAGAGCTTTGCAAGACCAAAACTCAGGCAGTTTTGGAAGCAGGGTCTAGAATTTTAAGGGCAATGGGAATCCACCACGTGTCTTTATTTGAGCATATGGGTTGTCACCAGTGACTCAGGTCAGGGTAACAGGGAATTAATTATGTGGTGTTGAAGTGGGAAAAAAACATTTTTATAACTACTACTTGTATTTAACACTTACGGAGGTGTTTCCATTGTTCAGCATTTAAACACCTGAACTACCTTTTCAGTGTAAAGATCTGTCTTCAGTGGTCAAATGTATATTATAGTATTTTTATGAAAACATCTGGAATCTTATATCTCATGAATTGTAGGAATGTTTCTGGGTGGAAATAATTAGAAGGAGCTTTCTTCTTCAGACCAACACCTGATTTTGAGATAGTTGTGAAGAAAAGTATGGTAGTTACAAGGACAAGATTATATCTTCTGTTGTCTTTTGCGTCCAGTGTAAGCTTGCTGTCTGCTATGAAACTAAATACCTTAGTAAAAATTGAAGACCTTAGTAACTATATGTATTCATACAAAATAACAAAAATGTTAGATTGGATTTATGGGAGTCAAAACTGTTGGGTTTTTTTTTGTGATGGGTAAGTGGAAATAACAGTTGTACTAAAACTTGGTTTGGGCATCTAGCAACTGTCTGTTACGAAAAATTGGAAAAGCAAAAGCTTGGTTTCTAGTGTGACTGCAGTTCTGCTGGCAAGATGCTTCTGGAAGCCACACAACTTTCCAGAGTTCATGTTCCAATAAATGACTTTGAATCTGACCTGACCTAAAACCTGCCTGAAAAGACCTTTATGGAGCATGGCATGCACCTCAAGCTCTTCTTGCTGCCTTATGTTGGACTCTGTCCTTCCAGGTCTGCAGCAAATTTCAGCAAGGCTTCTTGAATAGCTTGAAAGTTGAATGCAAGGATTGCAGTTATACCACAAATTATTTTATTTTTATAAGCTATTAAATGTCATTTTTCATGGTATTTATTTTATATCTGGTTTGTATCTTTTTCTGGCTACTACAGAAAGGTCACTGGATTCTGATAGCATTGTAATATCCTAAACAAAGTACCAAGAATGTGAAATTGTGCTCTTTGCTGGATGAGTCTCTGACACTTGGTTATTTTTGTTAAAGACACAGGCCTGTTAGAATTTCAGTGTGTTTCCACTTTTCCTTCATTTATTTATAGACTTGTTTTTGGAGGGCTTCAGAGAGTCTTAGTTACCTATAACAGCCACTTTCAGAAAGAGTTGGAGTAGCTGAAGACTTCCTTTGTTTAAAGTCAGTGAAGGCGGGTGTTATGCAGCCACGCTTATCAGGAGGCTTGCCCTCTGCTTTGGCATGGGGATGTGGTTGGCAGAAAAGCCGGTTATGTCAGTTTTGGAGAAGCAGGGTCCACCTGTGCCAGCAGTGACTGAATGCCTTGTGTAGGCAGAATTGCTGTGTTGGCCAACAGTGAGTGCAATTTTGTCAAAGAGGCAGTGCTGCTAGATAGGACGCTTTTTGTCTTTGCCATGGGGAACAACATAGTCTGTAGTTGTTGACAGGGCTGACTGGCTTTGATGTGTTTATTTTGCTTTATTGTTTCATTAGTCAAGTTGTCGTATTATTCAAAACCTTGAGCTGAACAGGCTTTATGGGAAGTGTCTCCCATAAAGCGTGCTATAACCACATTTCCCTCAAAGATGGCCCATCAGTATTTTTTTTTACTTAGAACTGTTGATTTAATACCAATCTCCTGCCCCTGAAAATGGGTCAAACCCTTCAAAAGTCACTGTCTGGGAAGTTCTTTAATTACGTTGAAAGCTGTCATGGCTGGATGGCAGAAAGCTGCCACCTAAGATATATCTTTGGCTCAAATCTGTTGCATAATCACTAAGGCTGGAAGGCACCTTTGAGATGATCTCATCTAACTCTCTTCTAGGAGCAGTCAGCTACAGCAGATTGCTCAGGACCATGTCCATTTGGGTTTTGAGCATCTCTAAGGAGACTATGCTGCCCCTCAGGACAGATTGTTCTATTGTTTGATCACACTCTTAAGTGTGTGTATATTTATGTGTGCATATATATATACATATACTTATGCGGAATTTGTTCTGTTTCAGTTAGTGCCTTCTGCCTCTTGTGCTTTTGTTGTGCAGTGCTCAGTCTTTTCCACACCCTCATCAATAAGATCACTTTGAGCTTTCTCCCAGCTCTTTCAGCCTTTCCTTTTATAAAGATCCCTAAGTCCCTTAGTCATCTTTGTGATCCTTCGTTGGGCTCACTCCAGCATGTTCATGTCTGTCTCTTAGTGGGGAGCCCAGAGCAGGATCCAGCACTCCGGGTGGATGTCACCAGAGCTGAGCAGAGGGGGAGGATCCTCTCCCTTGACCTGCTAGTGGTGGTGGTACTCCTAATGCAGCCCAAGATGCTGCTGGCCACCTTTTCCTGCAAGGATGTATTGCTGGCTCTTGTCCATCAGGTGCTTCTCTGTCAATCTGCTTTCCAGCCAAGCAGTCCACAGCCTGTACTGGTGCATGGAGTTGTACCTCCCCGGGGCAGGAATTGGCATTTCCCTTTCAACTTCATTAGGTTCCTGTTGGCCTGTTTCCTCAGCCTCTTGAGGTCTCTGAATAGTAGCACACCCATCTGCTGTCAGCCACTCTGTATGGTTGTTTATCATCTTCAGGCTTGCTGAGGGTGCATCCAGTCCCATCATCCAGGTCACTAATGAAGATATTGAACAACTCGGCATTGACTCCTGGGATGCACCTCTGGTCACTCTCCTTCAGCTGGACTAGATGTCGTTGATCACAACTGTTTGAGCCTGGCATTTTGGACAGTTTTCAGTCCATTTCACTTTATACTTATCTGGCCTGTACTCCATCAATTTGTATATGAGAATGTTATGGAAGACAGCATCCCTGGCTTTCCCATCATCCAGTGAAGCAGTCATTTCATTGTGGAAGGCTATCAGGTTGGTCAGGCATGATTTCCTTTCCATGTATCTTTGCTGATTCCCACTGTCACTACTCTAGTACTCTTGGGTGACACTGTCCCAGCTATCTGTCTCATTGAACAGAGCTTCCAGCTCCTTGACTGCTACAAGGGCACTAAACAGAGTGGTCCTGTGTTTCTAAATATGTTCTATTGGTCTGTTACAATCTATTTTCTACAATACCCTAATCGACCTGAGTCTGGTTTGATTTGTGTTTCATTGGTTGGTTTTGTTTCCTTCCCTCTTCCTTTGGTTAGAAGCATGTGCCAGGTGCTGTCTTATATTTATATTTGAATTCTTGCCAAAACAAGATTGCCACTGGCTAGAGATCTAGGATAAAGAAAGAAGAAAAAGACAAAGGAAGTGGTTTGGGATCGCCCATGCTGCCTGTGAATAATCGGGAGAATGTTGTCTTCCTTGGGTGAGATGCAGTCAGAGCATGGTAAACCTTTTGGTGTTTATACTCAAGCTTGAGAAGTTTATTTTTCATCCAGTACTTGGTCATTACAGACTTTTAAGCTACAAATAATGGATCTTAGGTTTGAAATTGAGAAAGCTGTGTAAAAAGCAGAGGGGAGGTAAGACAGGTGTGTTTGGTAGTTTGTGTTTCTGAGGTTTTCTGCTGCACCTTTGATCAGTTGAGACTTTCTGAATTTTGAAAGTTTTGCCCAGCTTATATTACTGCAGTCCAACTTACTGCTGACTGATTTTAGTGTCACATCTGTTCTTGAGTAAAACTTTTAAGCAAGAACTTGATGCATTCAGAGGTATAATTCAGGAGCATTGAGAACTATTTCAGGCATTCAGAAGTGTAATCTGTGGACTGCCATGATTCCTAATTATTGTTGTTGTAAGGAGTTGTGATTCCCTAAAAACACTTTCTGTCATCACTGGCCACTGTTTTTACTTGGGTAATTATTTACCTGAAGACCTTTCAGAGCTTATTGAATCTGGACTGTTTTGGTACTAGAGTGGTTTCTTGTCTGTCACACTGTAGTCCAGATTACCTGGACAGTTGATTCAGCGCTACTTGCTAATACTGAAAAGCAAAATTTGTAAGTGTTCCTCTTGAGGACCGCATAGTAGTGAGATGTGTAGTTTCTTGCTCTTTCTGTTGTCACGTGGGGAAAAAAGTATGTGCTGAAACTACCGTAACATTCCCCATGAACCCTCCAATTTACAGGTAAGACAACAAAGTTTAGATCTGTTTTGTATATGTGCCCATGAGAGCGAGGGTGGTACTGAGTATCATTGATAAGAGGAAATCCAGCACCTAAAATTCAAACACAAAAAGCTGATATTGATTTACTGCTATTTGTCTTTGGAACACAAAGACACATAGATGATGACTGGGAGGTTCTTGAGATCCTCCTTTGGTTGCTGGCATGACCAAGTCAATGTTTTACGGTCAGGAAAGGTGATGTGACCAAAATGAACAACATGTTGTGCATTTCAATCACGAATATAGAAATGTTTCCCCCAGTAAAATAAAAGAGCTTTCAAAATAATTAGTTCATGTTGACATAGTGTGGGTATGGTTACTTACTACTTCTGTGGAAAAAGGACCAGGTGTTTGGCAGTTCCAGTCATAGTCTGCAATGCTGTAAGTATTTACCATGACTGACAATGTGTTCTGAGCCATTTTCCATGTTTAACTTTGTAAAACTGTTCTATAAAGTGATACAGAAATATGCTTGAAACCACAGTTTGTCATGAGAGAAATATGTAAGATGGTGATTTCTTATTTTTATGCATTTATAGGTTTCCAAAATGTTTGGGTTGAGTTGATTAGAAGATGACATTTTTATTTCCAGACTGTAGGTGATGAATGGCTGTTGTCTTTATGATCTGTGGCTGCCAGTATTTTCTATCCAGGGGATATTTCATGTCAGCAACTCTGAAGACAATTCAGTGCAGAAGCAAGACAAAACTACTATGCTTGCTGCAGGCAGTAATGGGGAAATATGATGCTTTGAAGTAAGCTTAGAGAATGCATTTGGCAAGAATAAATGTATGCACTACAAAAAGGTAATGTATACAGTACAAAAAGTGTGTGTTAGGATTTCCAGAAAGTGTATCTTGAGCAGATATCTGATGGTGATTTCTGTTCATGATGAAGAAAAGTTTTCTTACTTAAAGGAAACTAAGTCTTTGTGTTTATATTCAACTGGTTCCTTTGTCAATGGGTGTATTCAGAAAATAGTTTGCCAGACAAATCATTCTGGCTTCTTTTGTATTCATGGCACCATGATGTGGTTCTGGGTTTTTTTACTGAGGGTTTTCTGACTTCATCTGCGGGCAACAGGGGGATAAAGGATATATCACAACATGCATGCAGCAACACTTTTGATCAAAATTGTTCACAGATCAGAATTATACATTGATTTAATGGAGCTGTAAGTTCAGTACCAGGAAATAATACTTTACCCCATTCAATTCCCTAATTTGTGAATTAATTGTTGGATATTATTATGCACTGATAGAATAAAGAGTAACCTGGGAAAAAGTTTTTGCAGCCATTCAGGATTCAGGATTTCTGACTTTTGACCCTGTTGTGCTCTCATCTTTGCGTGCTTGTTGCGATGTGTAGAGCACAGGGAAGTTTCAGTGAAAATAGTGTTATGTTTGGTAGTGCCTGGCTGTCCTAACTGGATCTTAGTGAGGGAAGATTATTTGATCGCTGCAGATCTGTGGAAATTTCTGGCATAAACAGAATTTCTTGATGGACAAATGAGCCTTTATTGCTAAACAAGCCTTAAGCTGTCAGTAAGCAACTCTCATGGCAACAAACGGACAAGTATGTAAATACATTGCAATATTCCTCCGAGTAAATTTTATTATATAAAAATTCAAGTTTGCGTGCTTATTCTTTTTTCATTCAAAAGCAGATAAATCTGAAGGAGGGTGCCTTTTACACGTCTGTGCAATTTAAGTTGTATGATACTGTCAATTGGACACCTTCGGGCTATGTTACATTTCTTGGATCAAACCTGCAAAATATTCTGTGCACAACAATCAGTTTTTTGCAGCTATAATAGCAGTTGCAAGTATGAGAATTAACAAAGCAAGTATGTACCATACACAGACAATTTGAACCTTTCTCCTTCCTTGGCCCCAGATATGCATTGAGTAACAAATGATTGCCCTGTGGGCAGTGATTCATAAATGGTAAATCTTAGGCTGGGATTTAGGCGCCAGGGGAAGAAAACCACTGCTAGCAATCCCTTCCACCACACATGTCCAAAATCCTACCCACCACCATCAATATATGACCTGCTGTCATATTCCTAAATTTACTTTATTCGAGTAGGTGACTGTAGAGTTTTCTTCCCCTCCCCAAAATGGTTGGGAACACTACAATTCCCAAATGACTGCTGCTGTAATGGAAACACTTATTCTTAGCATTTGTTGCTAGGTCTGCCTTTCTGTACATGCATGGCTTACAAGGTGCATTTCCATGTCTGAGTTGCATTCACTGTGGGTTTTTTTTTCTTTTTAGTGGACTATATTGTGGAATATGACTATGATGCAGTGCATGATGATGAGTTAACAATAAGAGTTGGGGAAATCATCAGGAATGTGAAAAAACTGGAAGAAGAAGGATGGTTAGAAGGGGAGCTAAATGGCAAAAGGGGCATGTTCCCTGACAATTTCGTGAAGGTGAGTTTTCTGCATTGACTTGGTTTTACTGTGATTATACAGCAGGCTAGCTGCTATTGAAATGGTTAATACACACATCAGTTGTATTTGTAACAAGATGGTTTGTTTTTTTAACTGGACAATCTTTTAAATTATCTTTTTTTAGTATGCTTTTTCAGGCTGTTTTTGTGTAAGTTCTGCTGTTCTTATTCACTTTAGCATTTCTTTTGGTCTGTACCCCTGTGCTGTATATTCTGTCTCCCTCCTACTGCTGCAGTGCATTAACAGTTCTCTGTAGCCATAGTTACCTGCTTTAGTGAGATGAACTGATTAAGAAACCAAAACCACAACAAACCTCCAAGCCTACCCTTACAGAAGACAGGAAGTCATGAGAGAGTTGGGAAAGTGGGGTCACAGCTCAGTCAGCTCAGCTATAATGAAAAACTACATCCTTAGGCTATGGTTGTGTGGGTATTTCAGCTGGGATTAAGATGCTTTGTTTGAAGGAGCAATTTGGCCCTACCCTGGACTCACCATTGCTGGCACTGCCAGTTTGTGACCGTGCAAAGGGGCAGGGCAGGGAATGTGCCCAACTGAAAGGTAACTATGGAATCAGATTGGTTTTCAGTTTGTTTCGTTTCCTGGTTGGGCTTCCCATTTGTCAGCAGTAAATACCTGAAACAGGAAGGGTGTGAGGTAAGTGTTCTGCTGGGCTGCAGCAGTGTTGTCTTTGGGTTAGTCATCATGTTACTGAAGATGAGCCTCTTCTCTGGGAGCTCTGTCTTACCTGGTCCCATGCAACAAACTTACAGTAGTTTTCTGCTGTGAGATATTGCTTCTCTAACCTTTTATATTTATTTTGTGTTTGTGTCCTAATTTTAATTGAAATTCTTGTTCATATCTTCCAAGTTTTTTCCTGTTTTCTCCACAGATTTTCTAAACGTAATATTAAATATGCACCTATTTATTAGTTACTTACAATGAAGAAGTCTGCAAAGCAGCAAAGTGTGCTATTATACTCTGAAGTTCAGAGTCTACTGAGCTGCAGATATTTTCTCATCTAAACTGTGCAAATGTTATGGAGACGTTATATTTTGCTTCTTTATGCTTTTTAACTTTTTTAGAAACTTCCAAGGGTTGCTTGGTATAGCTTCAAAGAGAATTTAGGTATTTGTCTCTTTTAAAGTGAAACTAATTATTTGCAAAATAGAAGTATCTAATGGATCTTACTGTGATCTTCTCATATCGCTAAACCTAAGGGAAAATTTGTCCGGTGCTGTAAACACTTCTTTGCACTGTATATGTTAAATTTGACAATTTTTCTGTTCATCTGACTGAAAAAGCAAAATTAGTCATTTTTTATTTACTGCAGAGGGGTTTAAGTATCTAACTTTTAAAACTGATGGGAATATTCCAGTTGTTCTCAGGGTCTCCTACCAAGTTTGTGTGAATGCCTTTGACTTGTCTAATATTTTTTTTATGTTGTTTGTAGTTTAGTTCAAAATCCACTTGGGGTTTGAGTCCTGTATAAATAGTAATTTTACCTTAAGTGGTGTTTCAATGATTCCTGTGTTGATGATGTATTTAGTTAGCACACAAGTGCCATATGGGAAGAAAGCATCAACCATGGCTCTTCCCTGGTTCTTGTGTCATCAAGACTGTCTGCTTGGTACTGAACAGCAAAGAAGGGTCAGTTGTGGCTTGTTTCCATGTTGAACACTAAACTTGTTGGGTGTTTTCTTGCCCTCCTGCAGCTGTGGCTTTTATAAACTTCAATTTAAATTATTTTGATTCTGAAAAGTCCTCATGCACCTCAGCTCCAGGTATTTCTAACTATACGGCTGTTCAGTGTGTGCATGGCATGGTCAGTTATCCTGATTCACAGGGCGCAGTCAGTTTTCTAGGTGGCATAGGAATTTGGAGAAGTGGAAAGCAAATTGCATAGAATAAAATTATCTCTGGTTTCATGACAGCAGGGAATAACTTGCCTTCTTGGTGTGGAGTTGAGTGCAGTTACGAGGCTGATTTTGGGAACTTTTTAAGATGGTGTGCATAGGCTGTGGAAGACTGTCATGCAGTGATGATATGATGGGAAAGAATTAATTTTTAGGGAAGTTTGAAGTTGTGGTTTTCTTGATGGCCAATTTGATTATAGTTTCTTCTTAAAAGTCAATTTACAGGTAGTGATAGAGACCATTTCTGGGGAAGTGGGGGTTTTTCTGCCTCCCCCTCCTCAACTGATCTCACTTGGTGGTGCTGTAGGTTGTTGAATGGCCAGGATCTGTGAAAAACTGTGACCAGTCTGGTGCTAATACCAAGCCCCAACAACTGAACTCAAATGCTTCATCTTGGCCATGTGCAGTGTTAACACCTGCAGGTTGTGGGTGAACTTCAGGAAGAATGTGGAAATAAAATGAAGCAAGATTGTACTTTGGTCTTGTGAACAAGGAAAGTCCCTTGAGAACTGGATTTACTCATTTGCTGCCTCACCCAGTAGCTCAGCATCACCAGGTGGTGGTGGCGGCCTCTGTGTGCTTCTGAGCTTTCTGTGAGAAGGGGTGCCTTACCAATCAAAGTAGGAACAGCTCCTGCAAGGACTTGTAGGGTTAAGAGTAGAGAAGTGTAGCAAGTTCATTGGGAGGGGTAATGACAAGAAGGATGTGAAAGAAGGAAAAATATTGCTAATTTCTCATGACGCACAGGACAGGGAAAGGAGACTAAGGATCTGAAAGATGCAGTGAGGTGGAAAGATCTGGAATGACACTAGGCTGGGAGGACTGGGGGAAACTTGGGTGCATGGGGTAGATGTCTCGGGTCAGGTCAGTAGAAACGTGACCAGAGAGAGCAAATTGATGTGACAGAACCAAAAGTTGCACCAAGGTTTGCATATTTGGATGCAGACCTCTGGGAACATACTTGAATATTTATTCCTTATTGAAAGAATTTTCTTATTCTCTTGTTATGAGTGTAATTTCATGCATTAGATGGGGATCTGGCCTGAATTCATTATATGGATAAATTTGGGTTTTTTGTGATATTGGTGCTGGTTTGTTAAGGATTGAACTGAGGCCAGAGTATAACCTCTCCTTGCAGAATATGGATGGTAAATTATAATCTGTGTTGATTTGAAAGATATTAGCATTTGAAACTGAAAACACATGTGTTATCCACTAGATCTGGCTGGCTTCTGCATGTACAAAATATTTAAAAGCATAACAAATATATGACAGATTAAACAGGGTGAAGATGGACATATTTTCTTTTTCAAATGATAGGTGTTTTTAGAGAAGATAAATGAGTTCTTTAAAAGAAGCCTTTGATTTTCATCAGACATCTGCAGGAGAATTGTGGGGGGAGGGGAGGTGCTAATTCCAGCTAGTTTGCTTTTCACTCATTTTGTTAATCTTTCTTCTTCATCCTGTCTGAGGGCAGGAAAAGAGCTTGTTGCCTTTGTGGCAAGATGCAGACTGTCCTTGGCTGCCAGGCAGCGTGCAGCTGTTTCTTGCCTGTTTGAAGGACAACCAAAATATCAACAGGAGGATTATCGCTTCATGCTGCCTGGGTGTGTTTGGTGCCCCAGATTCAGACTCTATCATCACCCCTTCTGTTTCCTCTTTCTGGGCTTTGCTAGTACACAGGATTTACTGCCATTTTACACTACTTTTCATACTTCGAGTTCTGCATGCTTTGACAAATGTGTCTTTTCTGTTTGAACAAGTGCTATCAGCTTCATTTGGAATTGTTAGTCATGCAGCAAATACTTTTTGATTATGTCTATCTCTTTTTCTCAAGTCTTCCAAATATTGCAAAAGAGTTGCATGTAGTGGCAGGAGGTTTATGTTTTGTGTAGTAGTAGCAATTGGGTCTTTCCTGTCAGAAGTGCAGCAAAAGAAGTTGACACTGTGTTTTCAAACGAGTTAATTTGTTGCACAGGCAAGTAGGTGAGCTAAGCACTCTATGACTTTGAAATAACTCGAATGCAGGACGGAATATATGGAAGCTTCCTGTGGCTGCTGCTGTGATGCTTGGTACCTTATAACATCTGCTGGTAAGTTTTTGGTTGGGTTTGGTTTTTGACTTCTACCCAAACATTTTGCCCATTGACTGTGAGATCCTGAAGAAGGATCAGAGCTTGGTGGTGCCCAGTTCCTAGTGCCAACTGGGACCCAAGATATTCCTGCATTAGGTTAGGTTAACCAGCAGCCTGAGATTGTCTGCCCCAAAAGGTGCAGTTCTTGGTGCTGAGTTCCACTGTTTTGCATTAGAAGAAAGAGAACAGGTGGAGTCAATTCAGGGGAACCCCATAAAGTCCCCAAAACATCCTCAGATGCTAGCGTGACAATGCCTTGGATGCAGAGCATGGAGTACTGTAAAAGCTGGGAGAGAAGTTGAGGTGGGATGTCCAAAGCAGTCTTGAAACTAGAGCTCAGGGGTGGTGAAAAAGCTTGTGGTAAACAAGTAGGTAAAAAAAAAAAACAAACTACGTAAAAAAAAAAAAAAAAAAAAAAAAAAAAAAAAAAGGAAGTACAAGCAGTTATACTGCCTACTTGGGAAGCTGATTTCCTTGAATTCACTTTTCAGCATTAGGCCTTTTAAAGATTTTCTGCCTGTAATGCAGTGTTGGATTTGGGTTGCGTAAATATCCAATTTTATTAACCAAACCTGATTTGAAATTTCCTGTTTGAACTATGTGCATATATGCTATGCTTTTAGTGGGGCTGAAATATTTGAACTGGAGTTCTTGTTCCTGTCATTATTATCACCTTTTTTTTCCCTCTTCCTGTATGGGCAATTTAAAAACAACAACTTAAAAAATTCCTGAAAAGAATTAACAATGGAAACCTAGCAAAGTTGTATTGTTTTCTTTAAGAGTGGCTTTTCCTTCCTAAAATTCATCACAGCATGGAATGTGCACACACACATTCATCTCCATTATAGGCTCAAGCAATGCAGTAGTGCTGTTAGATTGAATACGTGAGCTTTTTGGAGATGTGAAGGTTTGTAGGATGTAGAAGGTTTTT